GATCGGTATTTATTGGGGATGCTTAAATTATCTACTATCGTTTTATAGAAATAGATTTTCTTTATATATCAGTATTATCTAGAATTATTTTTTCTCATGGGTGTGGGGATTTGTGCGTGTGTGTTTTAATTGTTTTCTTATCTAACTAAAGTCGCTCACGTAATTAATTAAACGCCTGCTTTAGAGCTTTTCCCCGTGATCATTCTTTTGCAGTACTAAATCTATTTTCAGGAATGCAGATCAGCGAAGAACAAATAAACCAATATATAACATCTGGTCTGGTGTTTGGATTCTATTGGTGTGATGTTATTAGTAATCATTAAGATGGAATATTTTCTCTTTAATTATCTGGATGGTGCGGAAGTTTAAATTTCTGGGAAGCGTTTTGACAGAGGACGGTAAGTGCGACACTGAGATCCGTAGACATATTGGGATGGCCAAAGACTCATTCTAAAAACTGGGCAAAGTACTGCGATACAGAACGTTTTCTATGTTAACAAAGAAGAGAGTACTTATCTGTTACATGACATCTGTCTTCCTTTGCGGCAGTGTATTGCGAGACAGAAGGTTTTCTTTGGCTACAAAGAAAAGAGTCCTGAGCTGCTACATGGCATCTGAACTCCTTTACGGCAGCGAATGTTGAACGGTCTGCTCAAAGTTGAAGAAGAGGCTCGAGGCAACGGAGATATCGTTCTACAGAAGGAAGCTAAAGATTTCACAGGCCGTGCGTGCGAGCAACGATGAGGCTTTGGAGAGGATGCAAAGAAGAAGGAAGATTATACGTAACATTAGGAAGATGCAGATTAAATTTCTGGGACACGTAATGAGAAAGGAGAGCCGGGAGAATCTGATACTCACAGGTCGAATAAATTGAACGCGAGACAAGGGAAAGCAACACCTGACATACCTGGTGGGCTTAAGCAAGTGGTTGACAGAATGTGATTTGGTGGAGATGGCAGAGGAACGAAACTTATTGAGAACTACAAGGGATAAGGAGAAGTGAAGAGCCAAGTGGAGAGCCATGATCGCCTATGTCCTGTAGAGACGTGGTACATAAGAAGAAAAGAAAGATCTACAAAATTATTTCATTGTTTTATAATACGTTCAAATGTAGATTTATTTTATAGAAGTAAAACGCTCTATTTCGAGAATAGGCGTTTGTAGACGTAGTGTTGAACCAGCACTGCACGATAACTATCAGAACACGCCTATTCAGATGAACTCTATTCAGGCATGAAACTGACAATCGTTTTGTCTTCTATAGCCACACTAGAGTTAGATTGAGAAATAGATAGATTTGAACTCTTAACATATATGATTTAATACTGACGTGCAGGGATGAGACTTGAAAATTCAAAATCTCAGCACGTATTTGATGTGTGCAAAAGTTACCAGCACAAAGCCGATTCTTTACGTTGAACTTTTCATACAAATGCGCTTGAAATCTTTGAACAGATTGAATAATATTACCGGATGATACTCTGCGGGCAATGAATCCTTTTTAGAACTGATATGTAGTATTATGTACAATTAAAATTTTGATTCAAGCATTTAGCAGGTAACGTTTCAGAGTAAGGTTTTCTTACAAAACTTTTAGCCTCCGTTTTATTAATTTCATGCGCATTGCGAAAACCCGGATGACATATTTAAAAACACGGAAATTGTTAATTTTCAAAAGCGGACTTTTTATTTGGTAAGTTAAAAGGGTTTAGCGGAAAATAGATTTGAAATGCGCATCCCATCTGCGAATATTATAGTTCTACAAACCATTTATAAAGAAAAAGAAACAATATTAATTTTTCCACATTATCACCAGGTATCAGAAATGTTTCTACGTTTGATAACAGGAGAAAATGTCAATGATATGACAGATACATTAGCGTGTGTCAAAATTAATCAACAATTAGCAGAGAACATGAAAAGCAATGGACAGAAATTTTGAGATGTCGTACATTTTTACTATATCTTAACGGTCAACATTTTCTCAATTTGCATAGACTGGCATGATTATGGGTATGGATATTTTCTTATTTTAAGCTTTTCACTCTAAGCAAGGCCGGAGTGCCACTAGCACGCAAGGGGTTACAGAGAGTGGGAGCGAGAGTAAATAAGCGTGAAAGAGGAAAGGATGAAGTGAAGGGGCGGGGAATAGATCAAGGCACTTAGAGATGTCGATTGACATTGCATTTGAATTGTTGGAGATTGTAGCTATCAGTGAAGCAAGTAAGAGGAAGGGAGTTTCACAGACGGGAAGTGCGAGCTATTGGAGTAGAAGAGACGGCTATATTTAACTGTTTCGACAGTGAAAGAGTGGGACTGAGATGCCAACATAGTAGCACGTTTAAATTTATGCAGTTTGGGAAGCAGCGAAAGTAGCTCGTCGGAGCAGTTACCGTGAAAGTATTTGTAGAAAAGACAGAGGGAGGCGACGGTACGTCTCTGAGAGAGCGACTGTAAACGAGATGCCAGATCAGAGTCATATCCGTCTCTGGATTTTGTCAGGGACCTTAAGACGAACAGCGAGGGCTCCAGACGATATATGACAGCAATATTCCACGCACGGGCGAATGGTTGATTTATAGATTTGAAGGATGGACTCAGGTGAGAAAAACATTCCAGCACGACACAGAGAACAAACTTTCCTTGCGGTAGATGAAGCTATTGATTCAATGTATTTGTATCATCTCAGGTCAGCGGACAGTACGTGGTTTCCAGTTTAATAATTTAGTTTGATACGCCTGCTGTCCACGAGCATTTTTGTTACCGCAGGAAAGAAATCTAAACCTGGGTCGTTTAACACATCCCAAGGGCCAAATACATGTTCTAAACTTCAGATATTGAATGATGTTTTTTTTGTTGTTTTTTTTTTGTTTTTGTTTTTTAAGACCGAGAACTATAAGAGGTATGACAAAACTTCCGAGTTTTGCCACTTGCAATACATACTTGGTGATGCTAATTTACAAATCGTGTTCCACACACATATCGTTGCACTTTTCATAATGACATCGTGATATGTCTTGAATATATTCCACAAAAAGGATTATTTGTATCGTTGATGACGTTAGTCGCCTATAATTCTACTATTTATAGTTAATTGCGTTAATCACCTGTATTTCTACTATTTATATTTAATTGCGTATGTCTACTATTTATAGTTAATTGCGTTACTCACCTGTATTTCTACTATTTATAATTAATTGCGTATGTCTACTATTTATAGTTAATTGCGTTACTCACCTGTATTTCTACTATATGTCACATATATCATAACTTTTCTTTAGTTCTATAACGTATTCTAGGAGCCATTACTCTCTTACATTTCTACTATGTGTAACTGATGCCAAGAATCCTAACTAATCTACAATTCATACTGTTACTCCACAAAATAGGAATATTCGAGAAGCGTAAATTGCGTCAATAAAGAAAGGAGAAATGTTCAAATTCTAATCTGCAATCGATCTTCAAAGAAATAATGTTGTGTAGATGAAATTGTTGATTGATTTTTAAAAATTATTGAAACGCTTTGTCATAGAATGTTCGGAAACGAATTTAAGGCGTTGGATGAAATTTCTAGACTATTCCATAAAAGGAACCGTTTCCCAAGAGGATGCTTCCTCGATCATTACAATGTTAACCTGTTAAAATCTAGGATAATTGTTATCTTTGCATTAACTGTACCCCTTATTCTTTACCTGTTTAGCTCGAGTGCCTCTCGGGTTTTTTTACAGGGTGAACACTATAAAAACCGTATGAAAAATATTTATTAAGATCATAACAAACACTTCCCCATCAAGCATTCTCCACAAGATATTCTATAAAAAACATAGTAAAGACCAGCTACAGTTGCACCGAAGAGAAAACACAAATAATAAAAACGCACAACAGGAAAACAACCAACAAACCACTCGAAAATATCAAACCCACTTGTAACTGTAGAACAAGTAACGAATGTCCTTTAAACAACAATTAATGACAGAACAATGTAATATACCAAACCATTGTAAAGTCAGCAGATATCGTAGAAAAATACGTGTAAGAGTAACAGAATGACCGTGGAAAAAAAACATCAAAAAAAATACTTACACAAAATATCTTTCAAAAATAGTAAATACGCAAACAGTACAATGCTTTCTAAACACATGTAACAGATTAAAACCAAAAAAAAAAAAACAAAAAAAACAAAAAACAATTTACACTAAAAACACCACGGAAAATAAGGAAAACAGCATTAGCTTACAATAATAAATCCCAAAACGGTAAACATTCTCTGGAGGAGAAATAAAAACTACTATTACCTTCCCATAACAACATATACTACTAAGTAAACAATCAGAACTCATCTCAAAATGCAAACAGGAAAACAAATTTTTATTTCGTTACTTAAAAATCGAAAACTAAAAACGAAGTATCTGTCTATATTTCTGAGATGAGGTATTGTAATTATTTAGATTATTTACATAGTTCTGACTATTGTCCCCAACTTTACTGCCATAATCACGACGTTTCGGCCGTTGTAGGCTCTGGTTTTCTTCAGGTGATTGGAATTTCGAACCATTTATTTCGTCCATCGGTGTAAGCGCGTTCTAGCTCCATGTGCCATGCCTCTTCTGGAATATTTCTCCAATATTTCGTTCACCACTACAGTAGCCAGGGATTGAAGTTAAAACTCTTTGGGTCAAGACACTGGGTCCATCAAAAACTTTTATCCACTAGGCCATTTAAATATATAACTAAATATACTTAAAATAAATTCATCAGAACCAATAAATAAGCAAATCAATTAAGTAAATAATAAACGAATTAACAAAACACGAACGCAGACATAAACACAAATAATAATAAAATTAATAATAGCCAACAATATAATAGTCAATAATAAATAAAACAATTTTATAGTCAATAATAAATAAAAACAAACATCACTATAATAACATAACTATAAATAGCCCCAAAACTGCATCCAGATCCAAAATTATTTCCACCCAATAGTCCCTAAAATAATTCGAAACATAACCATTACCATCCAAAATAACTTTTAGAACAGTACAATAGACTACTTACAATGCATCACCTGTATATATAAATAGTAAGACAAAAACACATGACTACGATTACGTATAAGATGAAACAGATTGCCGCCGCTGGGCGTTGACTTCAATGACCAGTTCATCGAGCACAGAATACATAAAGCACTGATTGGCGGTTTCGTCCTATTTTGGGACACATCCACTACCGAGAATCGAACCTGAACCGTTTCGCTACAACGCAAACGTCAAAGCAACTGTACCACGCTCCTCGGTGACGAAGAAGGCACGAACTAGATTCGACGCTACTCACTCAGTTCCGCATTGATACTCATCCAAGTATACGGATAACCTCGGAACAGTACTCTACGGCTGCTTTTTACCCTTAGCAGCTCCTTAGCAAGGATACATTTTGTGGGGATTAGAGTAATTATTTAAAGTAATACATTCAGCCCAGGATAATCTTCAACGGAATACAGAAAGCATTTCGTCTTACTTAGGACCACATCAGCAGTGCGCATCCACTACCGAGAATCGAACCCGGACAGATTTAGATACAATGAAAACGTCATAACGATGAAGAAGACACAAACCAGACTCGATTTCTTCACTTGTATATCCTTGCTTGTCCCAGCTAATGCTCACGAGGAGCGGCAAAGAGTAAAAAAGCAGACGTGTCGCTTGGGGCACCGTTCCGTGGTTATCCGTAAACTGAGTGAGTAGTGGCACTCTATCGAGTCTAGTTTATGTTTTCTACGTTATCGAGGCCCATGGTACAGTTGGTATGACGTTTGCATTCTATCGAATCTGTCCGGGTTCGATTCTCGATAGTGAATGCGCACTGCTGATGTGTCTTAAATAGGACGAAATGGCCGTCCGTATTATGTTGATGATTATTCAAGACTCGATGAATTACTATTATTTCCTAACAAATTTTTTCGTGTGTGTATATACAGGACGCAGGGAGATTTCGGCATTGGTAAAATACGCACTTTATATACCGGGAAACATGGTATATTGGTTTGATTTATTGGAAGATATAACGGCTGTATAGAAAATTCTCTAGGTTATTCATACTGACGTATGAGTCTCTTGGGTGGACTTGCGGTTAGGTTCATTTCTTTCTTGTGCTGTTTATTAATTGAAGAAGCTACACTCGAAAAGTCTCGACATAAAAATTTGCTTTGGACGTAAGTCGATTTTTCTAAATTAAACCGCCTATTATTTTTCTGTGAGTTTGGCAAAGTGGCCAATTTTGTTGGCAAGTGGAAGAAAAATGTGGCTGTTCTGAGAAATTATTTTTGGCCATTTACCAAAATTCCAATTTATAACAGTATTTGTCACTTTGATTGTTAGATGTCTGTGAGAAGTGATGACTGGGTCCTGTCAAGGTTGAATATGGCGGTAACAGATGTTGCCGCTCCTATTTGGATACGTAAGATCGTCATCAGAATGTGGTGTGTCTCAAGTGCTTACTTATTTACTATCATTATGTCATGTATTTGGGAGAAAGACTTTTGTGAAGATAACCGATAACGGAAATGAATAACGATCATGTCATAACATGCAAGATGACAGGTCATGATCTGGCACCTAGTCGACAATCCCTATCCCACAGATGTGCAGTGGTTTCGCTATCCCACAGATGTGCAGTGGTTTCGCTATCCCACAGATGTGTCGTGTTTTTTTTTCTTCTTCAAGTACTTCCACGGCAACTGTTCCGACTAGCGACTTTCGCTGCTTCCCGGACTGCATGAATTTAAGCGAGCTACTAGTCAGGCATCTCGGTCTCCCATTTTCACTGTCAAGACGGTTAAATATAAGCGTCTCTTCTACTCAAACAGCTTCTTCTCTCCCAAATCCCGTCTCTGGAACTCATTTCCCCTTACTTGCTTCCCCGATGACTATAATCTTCAAGTGTAATGTCAATCGATATCTGACACGCTGAGCTTGTTTCCCGCCCTTCTCTGTCTCTTTCATCAAACATGCCTCTTTCCTATTGTTCGCAAACATCTGTAACCCCTGGCATGCTAGTGGCACTCCCGCATTGCTTGGGGTGAACTGCTTTAAAAAAATAAAATAAAATAGCATGAATATTATGTGAAAATATGTCGCCATAGTTGGGATTAGATGCCATGCTTTTTTTGGCAAAATTATTTCTGATATTATGTGATTAGGGACACGCAATAATGAAGAAATTATCATCATCATCATAATCATCTGGTCTGTTAAATTTAAAGCTACCCTACAAAGCATTTAGGTTTCTCGTATTTAGCAAGTATTTACATATATCACTCACGTCTTTTCCAAAATCAGCTGGGGTACAGTTGAGTTTCATTTATTCATATATATATATATATATATATATATATATATATATATATATATATATATATATATATATATATATTATAAAACCCAGATTGTGTGTGTGCGTGTGTCTGTTCGTTTATATATGGGATCGGATTTCCTACATTTTTTAACCGATTTCAACAAAACTTCACAGGACTACGTAAAATTACCCGGCGGTGGTTCTGACAGCGCCCAAAATTGGAAAAAAACATAATTGTTTTTGCACGAAATCACTTTGAAAACACGGGTAAGGGCCATTTATGCAGATTTTTCGCAGTCTTTGGACGATGTTTTGTTACCAAGCCACCAAAACAAAGTAAATGGTACAGTTTCTGATAGCACTAACGCTTGGCTATCTAACAAGTACCAAATTATTTGCAAGACTGTCAAAGCGCTTGACCAGGGAACCATAAACTGGGGTACCAAGGGACAGGATTTAGCCCTCTGAACGCACATTCACTGGCACAGTATGTACAGTTTTGGTTTGTTCTAATGAAATTTATGACACATATGCGGCTTACTCTCGCCTTTATGTGTGTCAAATTTTTTTCGGCAAAAATATCCGTAGCTGGACGCGAATCAATCTTTTTTGTAACTTCGTTACACAGACACAACTGCGTACAACCGAGTCCGCGTGTCGATACCGAGACTGCTGCAAGCCCATTGGTCGCTTTCACAGAGCTTGACCTTGGGGCCTGTCCAATCATCGCGCAGGATTTCTCACACGTTATCGTTCCCGCATGATCGCGCGTCAGCTTATGTGTAAGTGCGCTCAAGGTCAACCATCTCTATTGCGTGACTCGGGCATGCTTTCACACTTTTGCGTTTATTGTTGCCCGCGTGCACGCACTTGGCTTACTTTATTCGCTTACTTCGGACACCGCAAGCTTTTTTGTTTTATAGTTCCAACCCAACCCCACACACGTTAGGAAATTGTACTAAAACCCATTTCCTTTTAGATTTATCCTTGGTTTACCTTTTTAAATTTCAACTTTTTTTGTTTCGAGTTCCCCTTTAGTAACATCTGAACTCATTTTACTGGGTGTTCCCCTTTTTGTGTCTACGTTAGCAATGCACGTTTTTTCGTTTTGGATTTGTCGAAATCTCTTTTTAAGCTTTACCCACTTAGACATTTTCACTGTTTGGATGCCACGTAAAAGAAGGAAACTTTTGGGACGGCGCACGGCAGCTGCCTCTGTTGCTAGAGCAGCGAGGGTGAGTGAAACCCCTGAACAGACTTCTTTGCGTCTTTCACGGATGGCCTCGAGCTCAGCTGCTCGCTTATCTACGGAAAGCGGCGCTGCGCGGACTGAAAAGTTGGTTTCAGCGGCTTAAACCATGTCCCGAACAAACAACTTCACGTCTTAGGGCTACAGCCGCCTCTAGGGCTTCGGAACAACCCCAAGAAACAGCTCATCGTCGCTTTAGAAATGCCGTATCCACCGCGTCTGCCAGAGGCTTAGAAGGCCCTGCACAGACCACTGTTCGTCGCGTTAGAAATGCCCGCTCTACTGCATCTGCTAGAACCCTAGAAAGCCCTGCACAAACCACTGTTCGTCGCGTTAGAAATGCCTGATCTACTGCGTCTGCCAGGGCTGCAGAAAACTCTGAAGTACGCCGTCAAAGGCTCGAAAACATTAACAGCTACAAGCTTTTTTAAATGGCGTAACTTCGCCGTCTGCGTCATTTTGGTCAAATGCCGCATACAATTATGACTGCACTGTCAACTATTCCGCTAGGAGAGACGTACAAATAGGGACCATGGATAAAATTTGCAGTTTAAATCTGGGCTTTGTTGCTCTGGGGGGAAAATCAAACTCCATTCTATAGACGAACCTCCCCAGCCCTTAGGGACCTCCTTCTGGGTACAACTTCGGAGTCAACGCATTTTCTTGAAGCAGTACAACTCTTGCTTCCAGATGACGTCTTTTGGTGCGAAGGCTATTAGTGAGGGGGGGTGGATGACTACTTTCAAAGTGCAAGGCCAAGTTTACCACTTAATGGGATCACTTTTGGCTGATCAGGGAGAGCCACCTCAGTTCGTACAAATTTACTTTCTCGCTGACTACAACCATCAGGTTGATGCGCGTCTCGGCATTCTGCCTAGCGATATTTCCATCGGTCCCCGTAGAGACATTCTGTTCCGTCTACAAAACATGATTCATGAAACTAGCAGTTACATCCGAAGCTTAAAGTTTGCGTTGCAAAACAACTCTTCGCCCTCTTTCAGCGTTGTCATCGATGCAGACAGACGGCCTCACGGTGAGCATGAGCGTCGCTTCAATGCTCCTGCATGTAATGAAGTCGCCGCAGTCATGCACGGTGAGGAGCATAACAGCCGTGACATTGTCATAAGGTACCGGGGCGGTGGTCTGCGCCGCATCAGTGAAACCCACCGTTCATACAACTGTCTCCAGTACCCCCTTCTTTTTCCATACGGAAGCGATGGGTACCACTTCAAAATCCCAATATACCAGACAAGCAGCGATTCCATGTCGACCTCAAAGACGGTCTCCTGTAGGGCTTACTACGCCTACATGTTTATGGTTAGGGAGGGTGAATTTAACCAGAGGTGCCATCAACAATTTCTTCAATTCGCTGTTGACATGGCTGCAAAAATATGATACACGGCCACTGTGGCACAAATTACGAAAAAAGGTCATGTTTGTCAAGCGTCCCCACTTGCGCAAAGGGTTACACCCGTAAGTTTATCTCAGAAACGCAGACTGCGACAGATGGTTACCCACTGTACAGACGTAGAAGCCCCGCTGAGGGCGGCAGAACAGTGACAGTTAAGGGGCACACTCTGGACAATCGTTGGGTGGTGTCTTATTGCCCGCTGCTGTCCAAGACTTTTGGAGCCCTCATAAACGTTGAATACTGCCACTCGGTTAAGTCAATCAAGTACATCTGCAAGTACGTTAATAAAGGCAGTGATACTGCCGTTTTCGGTATCCGGCGCGACAACTGCGTTGACGAAGTGGCCGATTACGTGGCTGGACGCTACCTCAGCAGTAGCAAGGCCTTTTGGCGAATTTTCGGATTCCCCATACACCAAAGGGCTCCAGCCATTGCGCAGCTTGCTGTTCACTTAGAAAATTGGCAGAGGGTGTACTTCACTGAGCAAAACGACCTGCAGGTTGAAGAAAACCCTAAAGACACAACCCTAACGGCTTTCTTTAAATTATGCTTTGGCGCCACGATGAAAGTCTTAAACTGAGCACGAACATGCGTGCCGACTTGAATGGGGACGCCAGATCCGCTGACTTCGCACGAGACCTTCTTGCTCTTGGGGAGGGGAAAATGCCATCTGACACACAGGGGTTTGTGCAGATGGATCAGCTTGCCACCACTGTTGAATCACCGGATGAATTGATGAATGCAGTCTTCTACAACCTATCCACTAATTTTGCCGATGCCGTTTGGCTTGCTGGGAGGGCCATATTGGCACCGAAGAAATGTACAGTTGATTCCATCAACCTTAAACTGTTGGATTGCATTCCCGGGCAATGTCATGTTTATAAATCCATCGACAGATCATCTAAATTAGCTGAGTATCCCATAGAAGATTTGAAATCCCTTCAGCCGTCCGGACTCCCACCTCGTATTCTTCGGCTCAAAGTTGGTGCTCCGATTATGTTAATCCGGAATTTGCTCCCACCTAAACAGTGCAACGGAACCCGCCTCATTATTAAATCCCCTTCTCCGAACCTGATTGAGGCGACCATTGCAACTGGCTGCGGCAAGGGGGAAGTCGTTCTGATTCCCAGGATGCATCTTCTGCCGTCAGACGAAAGCATACCAATCAACTTTCGCTCCCTCACAATTTCCCGTGAAGCTTTGCTTTGCTATGTTCATTAACAAATCACAAGACAGACGCTTAGCATCGCAGGTCTGCATTTACGTGAGCAGTGCTTCTCTCACGGTTGGGTGCTCACGAGTTGGGTCTAAGGACAAGGTTTTCATTTACTCTCCCAACAAATATGCTAGAAACACGGAGGTCCTGTAGACAACCCACGCGTTAGCGTTTAAGCGTCATGCACACATATGCAGTCCGATTGCATGGCAATTTTTTGTTTGTCATATTTGTTTTAACGTTAGGTCGTCGTAGTCTCCACTTGCCATTACTAAGACATCTTTGTAAAGGTTATCCAGCTCTTTTGCCGCCTTCTGACTTTCATACCTTCACCCGCCATCATCGCGTTTGTTTGTACACTATGATAACCTCACCGTATTCAGTTGCAACACAAGCTGCTAGACACATGAACATCGGCATTAGACATGATTGCTCCACTAAAGTTCCGGTTTCATTAACAGTTGGTCGGAGAACCTGCAGTTCGTACCAGTGCATACAAGCATATTCAAACTTGAGAAGCTTCGGAGTTCGTTTAATTGTCACAAAAGTCGAGTGCGTCTACGAAATTCAGGCTTCTGCTTTCATATACACTTTACGGCTGCCATGGGTGAAACATGTCAGCCATACAGCTCTATTGTTTTGTTTGTAGTCGTGTAAGAAACCCTAAAAACAGACGCCAAGTACGACGGCTCCGGTCGGTTTTCAAAAGCGCTCAGCATGATGTTGACTGCGACTGAAGCGATGGCACTTCTCCATTGCAATTACGATGCTCGGCCTTACGGCTACCCCCGTTGCGGTTTTAAGGGCTCTCAGCCGCGATGTAGATAGTGACAGATCAGAATAAAGAAAGTTATATCACAGAAATTTTCTTACCATGACACCCCGTCACTATTCGCTCTTCTCTCGGTTTTACAGTTCTGGTTTGTGGTCGTGGCAGCGCCGTCTTTTGGGCATAAGACGTGTCTTTTATTTAGACAAGCGGTTTGTTTGTGATTGCGCACGGCACATACTTTATGTCTATGGCTTCCTCACGGCACGTTTTCCCTTCAATCCCTATGCATGTTGCAACTGAATCGTGGTTTCTTGACTACTTACCACAAGTGCTTCCAGTAATGCTTAACGGTCCAATTGGTTAAAGCAGTAACTGCTGCCAGCTACTTACTTACAGATGTCTTAGTAATGGCAAATGACTGATGCTACAACGGCTTTCCATTACTTCCTTCGATACCTTCGAATACTTGGGCCTGCATGATATCTGCTTAAACTGTGTGTGCATTGCGTTTCAACGTTTTGTAGAAACTTAGTTCCTGTCGACTTACAAAGCACATCTTTCAAAGCAACAGCCGTCCCCAACTCTTACTGTTACATACCCGGGCAACGCCGGGCTCTACTGCTAGTATATATATATATATATATATATATATATATATATATATATATATATACATATATATATATATATAAAAACTGTGGCTGATGCTGCTAATGCAATGCTCTTCTACTCGAATTGAGCTCTCCTAGCTAAAAACGTTAATATTTCCCTTCCGATCTGTCGTGGATTAATTTTACCATTTCCAGTGACCAAAATACTCTGTAAAAGTCTTCCAAAAATAAAATATACTTTTCTGAAACTTGATTTGACAAATATTAGCTGAAATAAATTATAATCAATCTGATTTGAAACACATTTTATTTACTTTAAGTTGAAAATTTTTAAAACTATCAGTAGCGGTGATTTACGAGGTTTTTATCGCTCGTCAATGAATTAACACGAACTGATTAGGTGTTGACAATTTTATTGTTGTTCTACGGAGATTTTATCTGCTAAAACATAATTTAAGAAAATGACGGGTTAACGCTTTTTTTTCGATAATTTTTAAGTACTCGGTAATCTTAAAAATGTTGGAAATATTCTCCGTAATTTAATTAATCTTGCTATCATGATCGATCTTATTTTCTTATAATATCGTGTATAGTCACCCATATTTTCAAAATGAGCACATTTATACCTATGAAAAAAAATATTTTACTATACTTATTGCATGATGATTGCTAATATGCTTTTCAACTTTCGCTTAATAAATATATTCTTCACTTAATAACTTGACACAGTCAAAGTTTTGAAGTTTTTTGAAAATTTATAAATTATTATAATTAAAAAAAAATGAAAACTTTTTGTAAAAATTCATTATTTATCGAAAATATATTTTTTCTTCAGACTATAAAGTCTTTAATATATATTATTTATACAAGCAATTAAAAGCTAATTAATGTCATAGTTTTATAGCAGCTTTTGTTTTACTATTCGGATTCGGGATGGATTTTTTAAACGAATTAGCTGTTTGAAAAAATAAATGATTTACATTCTCCAAGAAGTTTTGCGTTTATATAATAAAACAAAGTTTGAGATAATTAAATTTCTAGAAATTTCATGAAATAAATAAGCGGTTGTAACAGAAATAAAATAGAAATATTTTCCCAAGATGTTCTAAAATATAATGACTTCAAAATTAAATTCATTCATTTGTGAATAAGTCCTGAAATTTTAATTCAAATCCAACGATTATTTGATTTTTGTAAGAATTTACAGTTTAATGTGCTATTTTACTCGAAAAGGGCAATAAAATTTTCATTGCTCCGTTGATGCATTAAAAAAAAACAAGATTTTAGACTAAAATTTCCAAAGGAGTAGAACAATTTTTTAAAATAAATAAAAAAATACTTTAGTCGTTCCTCTTTTTAATAACAAATATTTTGACGACAAAACTTTGTTTTTATTATGTTTGGCTCCTTTTTTTCATCATGCGATACTGTCTTTTAGCGAAAAAGTGCAAGTACTTAAAAAAAATCTGAATGTCTATCTATCATTAGAATTTCCGTGTATATAATCGAATCGGCATTTTTGTTGCGTTACGTCCCAGATTTTGTATATATATATATATATATATATATATATATATATATATATATATTTCCTTAAATAAAAGCCTTATTTGGTTTGATGAAATATCAGAATGGACGTCATCATTACACAACTGCAAATCTGTAAATATTGACATGTATCTTGGAATAACGGAACACGATCATGTCTGTGTCCTGAGACCGCTTGAACTACCGGTGAATCACACGGTGTTATGTGATACCTGCACGCAATAATCCTTTGCACAGGCTGGTCAAATGATTGACCGTTGAGTCACGCAATGGTTTTAAAGGGAAGTGTTGTTTGGTCGGCTGAGATCCGATCAGCGTGTCGCGAGAGATTGTATATACACATCGCTCATTGAAAAAAAAAGAGGGAATATGGCAGGATAGCTGGCTTTGGTTCAGCTTCTTTCCGGTAGAAGTTTCCATGGAAATATAGGGAATTAAACTGCGTAAACAATTCATATTTAATGAATTAGACCCAGATTGAAAAGTGAAAAAGAATCGGAAAGTAGGTGACACGACAAACAAATCTTCATTTGGTAGAATCTACATGAAATTTACCTTTTCTTTTAATGACAGAATAAGGAACTTCGGTTGATATTAACCAGGGTATGTTCTGTTCTGATCTCACTGAATTAATTACACCAATCTTTATTAGTTTTCAGAACATAGACTGCACTTCATTTAAAATAAATTATTCAACATATTTCTACTATACACTTAGGATATTTTAATATACACAATGGACACATGGGGAGTGTGTTTTTAATTGGATGATTAACATGAATGAAAATAAAATAAGAGTGAGTATAGTCGGTTTCATATGTGTGCTTGCGTGTGTGT